GAATCCAACTCTCTGTGTCTCGTCTTCACCTCCAAGCTGCAGTCTGCCCTTGTACCCCAGTCAGTCTGGGTTCTGCCTTCTCACATGTGTGGAAGGGGAGGAGACCACACACACGTTTAGTCTACACATTGGTTGTGAGCAGTCCACAGCTTGGAAAGAATATTTAAGATGCCCAAGGAATACAAAATACAGTACACAATTATAAAAGTACTCTCGCTTCCACATATGCAACAACAATAACACATACTTAACTTCTCTAAACCGTAACCAGCCAAGTGTCAGGCCAAAGATGAAGCCCCTAATTTAAAGACCAAGGATATAATTATGTATTGCTTGTTCAAGGCTATCACATACTTCAGGGGCAGAGATGAATGAGTATGGTAGCAATTGTAGATGATTAATAATAATAATAATAATAATAATAAATTAAAATAAAATTTAAGCATCGAAATTCAGCGAATGTGGAACATGAAATGTTTTGTGATACCAGTAATTATTGGAGCCACAGGTACAGTCATGAGAGGGTTGAGAAAATATTTGGAACTAATTCCTGGAAAGCACTCCATAGATTCACTGCAAGAAACAGCTATCCTGGGAACATCACACATACTACGGAAAGTGCTACAGTGCGAAGCTTGAAGCCTGAGTGGTGAAGTGCATCACTGGTTCAAGAAAAGGAATAACAGGAAATAAACCTGTGACAAGAGATGATGATGATGATAATAATAATAATAACAACAACAACAACAACAACGAAAACAATAATCTGTGGACACTACAGTCCATGATGAAAATTGGCTTCTGTCTTACAGTTTCTTAATCATATAGATAGTTGATAAGACTCCTTGGGTGGGAGATCAGCCTGCCACAAGGCTGCTACCTATAGAGGACGACATAAACAAAATAAACGCAGAAAACATCCATGCCTCAAGTGGGATTCAAACCAACAACCCCAGTGTTTCAGTCGGCGAAGACAGTGGCGATGATTAGCTGGGGAAAACCGAAGAAATTCTGAGGAAAATCTGTTCCAATACTACTTCAGCCACAAAAAAAATATGATATTGCCACCCATGACTTATAGTACTCCGGGTTCCCTCATGACAAGCCAGCATTATAACCATCTCAGCTGTGGCAAGACCTCAAACACTGACATACCAAAAATAATAGTGCTTTCTGTACATAACGAACTAAATATTCTTATTGAATCTAGGAATATGTATCATTATGAAATCCTATTTGTTATAGGACATAACAAAGGTGGACAATTTTGTTGTTTTTTGAAAGGTAAACAACCAGAACTTACTAGTGAATTATCATAATCATCATCATACTCATTACTTCAAACATACAACAAGGTATTCCAAACAGAATTCATCTTTTCATGTATTCTTTCCTATTTGTAACTCACAATTTACATTCTTAAAATATATAAGAAAGTTGATTTCTTGCATGGCTTCCATGTTATTATTACTGACATCTGATTAAAATTATCATATCAAATACAGCATCCTTTGTAAACATTTACCATTGTACAACACTCCAGAATCATTCAGCATGGATGGTATTGAATTAGCATATGTCAAATTATTTACATAATCACCAATTCAGTACTGTTAATGACATTGTTAAATCAATTTTACTATTATTGTATTTTAGCGTCCTGTTGCACTGATTTGTATTCATAATGTGTATATATTTACCGTCTTTTAGTGCATACAATTTCACTTGTCACTTCACACTACATGTTTTGGCATCATTCTGCCATCCTCAGGCGTATCAATCACGTTAAACCATTGCACTGCCTGTCATCAAGTGTCCATTTATAAAATGATATAAAATGTGTGTTCGTCATTGTTCAGTAATAAAATTTATATATTAAAACTTGTTAAGATCTATCATCTTACATGTCGTACATCAAACTCGTGTGTAATGCCATTCATCCACTATGGGAGTCATTCTTATGTTTTAATTGTGTATATACTGTGTCTTATGATGCATCATTCTTATGGACAATCATGGATGGGATAAATTTCTATGAAAAAAGAAAAATGTGAGTGCTTAACTGGTCATTTATTCCCTACCAGTTGACACAGTGCCATCTAACATGGTCCATATATTTTATCACCAGAAGGAAGCATTTTCTGTCCCATATTCACCAGTACTTTTCAAAACAATCTGGTCCATAGGTTTTAATTCTTGGAAATAAACATGTCATTCAAGATACTACTCATGAAGAAAGACATACATTTTGTTTAAACTCACTGAATTACTGTCTCTCTAGACTTTTACTTTGTTACCCCTTCTCTTATTATGGAAAATACAATTGACCACTTTTGGAAAGAACAGTTAAAATTAGCCTTAAAGCATACTGTATTCATGGTAGAAGAGAAAGCTGACCATGGAATGGAGGCAGTGCACTCCTCTCACTGATAAACGTCTACCAGACTACACACCATCACATCCTTGACAGCAATCTTCAGTCACTGCCACAATAAATTCAAATCTTACCTATTTATGAATTATGGCAAGAGTCTCTCAGCAACACCCAGAATCTATACAAAAATCTTTCATCTTCTGATGTCAATCACGACTATGTGGACACTCAAACATTTTAGTTTGCACTTTATCTTAACTGTGACTTCATACACTGAACTCATCACCCATATTAGTAAGTATGCCTAGGCAAATATACTATATATAAATGCAGAAAAAAAAAATTTCCCTCCAGTTCAATCACTTGAGTAAGACTGAAAGTGAAAATCCAACATACAGGCATACATTGTTTAAGAATATCTTCACCTCCATCTGCCAAGCATAATATATTTAACAATGATTGTAAATAATTACCAACAAAATTACCTATTTCTTTATGAGAAACATGACCTATCAGTTTCTTTTATGTGTACAAGAATATGAAAAGTAAGAATGATTATCACAGATTGGGACAAAGTATATGTTAAGAGAGTCAGAGGAATATATTTTTCACAGTTGTTGTGACAAGTTGTTCTACTACACTATGAGGGCATAAAAAGGTTTTGAAACTGATATTTGTTGAAGCATCTTGAATATTTGAAAGGTATGGATGAGGTGGCAACAACGTTATGTATTAGCAATCTTGTACATGTAATCCCACTTTGCTACCTCTACTTAGTCAAGAGTTAGGGCCCCCATACACACACACAGTTTGGCCTCCTGTTTGGCCTGCACAGTTGGAAGACTGAAAGGCAAAACTGATGTGTGTGGTGCGGCCGGCCGGCTGGCCAATCGTTTGGACTGTTGGCCTGTAGGAAACCCGTCAGTCCGTCAGTTCTACCTGCAGGACTGTAGCACGTGACGTGTGTGATTCAGCAATAGAGGCTGGAAGACTGTGACCGTGGCATGAAGCCTGCCGGTTTATCTGCACGTGTATGGGGAAGGAATGGGAGAGGGAAAACTGAAAGTTTTGCCTGTAAGGTCGATTGGAAGGCCAAACTGTGTGTGTATGAGGGGCTTTATACATGTATTATACAAGGACATGTACTGGGTTCCACTCCAGAATGGCCAACGCTCAAGAACAACAGCATTACATGACAGTGCGCCTCAGTGTCTATTTTCATGCTGTGGATGAACTACAAATTTTCTTTAAAATATCATAACTGGTGATAAACCTTGGACCTGTGATCTGGAAACTAAACACAAATTCTACCAGTACACGAGTCCCAGTTAATAATGGCATGGCAGACATGATGAAATATCCAAGTCATTTTGCATTTATTAGCAAAAAAGGACTAATTCACCTAGAGTACCTTCCTGAACATGGCATTCTACTGAGAGGTTCTAGCAGACTTGGATATTACATGAGAAGGAAATACCAAGGAACCTGTGAAAATGACACGTGGCTCCATCACAACAATACGCATCCCCACAATGCTTTGTCTGTAGTGACATAACTAGCAAGAGGTGACTTTCAATGGCACCACATCATCCCTTGTCACATGCTTTGACTCCCTGGGATTTCTTCTTCTTTTCTAAATTCAAATCTAAATTTAATTGCAGAAGCTTTGATACTAAGGAGGATACTGAAAGAAGAGTGCCAGGCATGCTTCTGGATATTGAAGGACACTGGAATCAGATTATTCATTTGCAAGACTACTACTTTGAAGGGCATATCACATGTGTTACTGGATCAGTCTTTTTGAGATCTCTTGATAGGGTCTCATGAAAGCCAAGTGGTTTTAGAATTAGGTTTTATAACATTAAAGCAGGTCTCTAAAATATATTTTCACTGGAGGGCTGCTTTCACTTTTGTCTTGGCAGGCACCTGAATCAAACAGAGCAGCTTTAACAACTTTCTGGGCTGTTACTTTTTTTAATATATATTAATATTTATATCAAGCATTCCAAATAAATCAACAGCTGAAATATGCACATTTCAGTTGATATAAGTATTGTTTAAAATATTACTGCACAGAAAATTTGATTAACATTTATTCTGATGCTCTGTTTAATGTCTGAGGAACACTGACTAAGGAACTCAAGACCTGGCACATGGATTTAGTCAACATCTGTACTGTTATACAGCACAGTACAAAATATTTTGCCATGTTTTCTACAATATGGTCTTTTTGCTTAAAACAGAAGTACATAAGCTATATACTAACAGTTCTGTAGTAGAATTAATTTACTATATCTCTGAGGTTATACTGCGGTTATATAAACGTTTACTTTTGACCTGAAAAGTTAGTATGTTTGCATGAGGCAGATATGAAATATACCTTACATGTACAATAATGCTCACAAATTTTTCTTAAAATATTTATTGTAACAACAGCAATGAACAATGTAATTATGCAATTTCATGCTGCAAATACTCCTTCGTGAATCCATGGCCATGCCATATCTCCGGTTGTTAGATGCTGGTTTCTCACTGCAGGGACCTGAATTGAGCCTCGGCACAGTCCATTTGGGCTTTCTGGTTGACAAAGTGGAATTGGAGCAGGATTTTCTCAAGAGTACTTCAGTTTTCTTCTCCAAACTATCATTTCACAACATCATTGTGCTCAAGTACCCACCTTATTCGCCAGACTTGGCTCCCTGCGACTTCTATATCTTCCCAAAAATCAAGTCAGTGCTCAAAGGAACCCATTTTTTGCCAGTAGAAGATGTGAAAGCAAAAACGACAGAGATCCTCAACAGCCTTTCAGAAAGTGATCTGCAGAATTGCTTTGAACGTTGGCAGCATCGTATACAGCTCAGAAGGGAACTATTTTGAAGGAGATCCTAATTGATTTCCTCAATTTTTTAAATAAAAAGAGATACACTTTGTCTGACCACAAAGGCTATATAAAATCAAGTACATGTTTACAATCCTAGACACAAATGGGAAATCACAAATACTTTAAATGCATGTATAGTGAATTATGGTTGGTGAGAAATTTCCATATTAAGAAATAAACACAAACATATTAAATTGGAGTTTACAATTTGTACAATTTGGTACATTTTGATCTTTCTGTCAGGACTGTCACGAACTCTTCACTGATATGGTCAATATCATTACTTCTTGAGCAACACAATACTTAGAACTGACTACAGACCCTCTCCAGACAGTTCCTTAATTAGTACACCTCAGCTCATAAGCTGTCCCACATTAACAAAGACACTGCTGCCTGAGTATACACGAGTTTTATTCTCATTTATTGTAATAAATCCTTATATGAACTTATTCTCTTGTCCAAACAATCCCATTTTGAGTTATATTCTTATTTATTTTGGCAAGGAATGACCTTTTCTGCAATTAGGTAGCCTATGGCAAATAAGAGTCTTGTATTAATATTTTAAATTTCTCAATGATATCAATGGGGAAATGTTCCCATTAAGTATAAAATTCCACTAATCTCCAGTCTTTTAAGATTTTTGACTGTTGACATCTTCCACATGTTTAATTTCTTTTCATGCACTTCACTTATTATATCTTTAAATGTGTACTGAACATACTTCATTTCATTTCATGTACTATGCAATAAAAAGGTGATGCTATGCACGCACAGTTTTAAGCCCGATACTAAAAGAAGACCTCCTGAGAAGTGCTGTTACTTTACTAATAATATATCACCAATTTATGACAACAGGAAGACAATGTTCAATAACAAAGCACATAACTCTTCAAGTTTATAAATTGCTTGCATATCAATACTGCTTCAGGTAGAAGTTACATGCAGTTCAGCTCTCAGAGGATGGCTCCCAGATTATAACACAACGATCTTCACCACCTGATACAACCAGAGTGCCATCATCAGACACAGCAACTGCAGTCACTGCTCCTGTTTGAAGAGACATGACAATTAAAGAGTTTTTCAACATAAATGAATAAAATCAAATGTCACAGTAAAACACATGTTCCACTTCTCTAAACTTGTCAGATGTTTTTACAGTGTGTTTATATCTAAAGCTGGCATGAGCTGCTATAAAAGAACCCCAGAACACATAACAGATTTGTTCCTCAGTCTGAAGAATGAACATGAGTATTCCGACTATTATTGTGCTGGCAGCCGATGACAAAGTTTCAGGAAAACTATCCGCCCACCAAATAACCAAACAACCAACTAACCAAGCAGCTCCATGGAGCAAAGTCCTGTTCAAGAAGCCAACAGTCTCTCAGCTACTCAAGAATTCCCCAACATTTTATGAAACATGAAGGCTCATCAGCATGTTCACAATATCCTGCCATTGGTCCCTATTCTGAGCCACATAAATTCAGTCCACACCATCAATCCTACTTTTCTAAGATTTATCTTAATATTATCCTCCCACACATGTCTAGGTCTTCCTAGTAGATTCTTCCCTTCTGGCCTTCCCAAGAAAACTCTGCATGCAATCCTCTTCTTTCCCATACATGCTACATGCCCTACCCAAATCCTCCTTGACTTCATCATTCTAACTACATTCTGGGGAAGAGTACAATTCAGAAGAATAATTAGAAAATGTCTAATGGTACACAAACATGATAAACAGAATGGAGAATAATTTATTATATACTGTATATAAATATATAACTTCTTAAATACTTCCAGCCATGCTGAGAGACTAGCAGGAATTATACATTTATATTTCAGTGATCCGTTCTACTCACAATCTTCACTATTACAATGTCCTTCTATAAGAGAGCTGTCAGACATATCCCGCACATTCTGTCCTGCTACTGTGTTCGCAATTTTTAGCATACACATAAGAGATGCAGCATATAAAAGCTATACATTCTTTTATAATCCATGTTCGTACCAAATTTCAAATTCTTTATGATGAACAAGACACTACCAAAACAAAAATTTTAATTTTTTAAGGTCTCTTGCTAAAGAAATGTAATGACCCTTTACAAAATGGAACTAATGTAACTCCTACTTACAATGTTAGTGGCATATATATATATGCAATTAAAATGTATAAAAGTGAGGAAGCATCCAAAGACGTGATGTCCACGCCAAGTTTCATGAAAATCTGTCAAGTGGTTCAAAAAACTAATTACCACATTAACTATACCCTGAGGCAAAAGATAAAATGTCCCTGAGCTTAAGTAAGCATCATGCCGTAAAGATGTATTTGGAGTGGGGGATAGCTCCACACATTCTTAATCTTGGCATCAGATGGAGCTGCCTCTTTACCTCCAGGGAAGAGTCCTAGTACTGTCTGTATGGGGGGCTGGATGGGCCACAGAGATTAATGTGGAGGCAGAGAGAGAAATTCTTGCCCCTTGACAGAAGTTCAACCCTGGTCATACAGCCTGTGCCCTATACTGACTAAGCTATCTCAGTTTTAAAGTGATTTCTTTTAATATATATTTCTCATTTTGAAAGGCTACAGTATTTTTAATTCTGAATCACTAACTTATTACAGTATCTGTATATCATCCACAGCAAAACGGAACTCAAAGGTCAATTTATTACTGCATATTTGTCATGGTTGGAAGGATATCACATTCTTCTAACTGAGATAATTCTGATCTTGGAGTTCAAATCACAATATGTTCCCTATATGTCTAGTATGTGAAGATACTGCCGCATTCTGCCATACAACTTCTTCGGTAAGATTAGCTGAAATTAAACTCAACTATCTTTATTCTGTTTAAATAATATAACTATCTTATACGTGAACATTTCTAGTTTTACCTACATACCAACATGAGCTGGTAACTGTTTCAGTAGTTTCACTTGGACCAAGTCCCATATGTACAGACTTCCACAGCTTCCTCCAAGTATCAGAGTCAAGCCATCCCAACAAAGGCACCTGCAAAAGAAAAATAAGGTATTACATTCTAATACTTTTGAAATCACCAAATCATGATTGTTCTTTAATGGACTGTCAAGTGCACTGGTGTTTCTCTAAAACAGGTTGAATGTTCATCCAAAAACATAGCACACAAACAACAGGAAGCTACATTAATGCTGTCTGAAACCCGACCCCCTCAAAAAACAGCTGTGAAATGACAACTTGGCAGTACACTGTGTACCTGTAACTGCAATACAAGAAGAAATCATTATGTAGATACATAATAAAATATTATTACAACAAATACTGCTGTAACAAAATTTTCATTTTCTCTTATCATTTTTCCTTTATTGTATTTTTATGGTACCCGGAAAAGTGGTATTCTGTTATACCTGTACTTCTTCCTCGTAGGAACCTCGACAATTAAATTTAGAAATCTTGCTGTTTCTTTTCCTCTGAGCTTTATATTTTGTACCATTGGTTCATGATACATCAAATATGATACAGGATGCAGAATGAATAATTTATTAATTGATAACTTTCAAGATTTTAACTTCATTAGACATACTGAAAACTTCTGTTCTGTTAAACTAATGACGGGTATGAATAATATGAATATGATAAACATTTACTAAATTAAAACTTACTTTACATTCATATTTTTAAATGAAAACATTACTCTATATCATCAAAGAGAGATGGAAGGAAAACAAAAATTCTTGATAAATTCGAAAATGCTGCTGTTTTGATGATCACTTTAATGATGTGTCCCATCTTTCTCGATGTGCTTTGATGTGCTTCTTGCTTGTTCATTTGCTGGGCTTACTTTTTGATCATGAAAATGGAGGCAGTACATTCCTCCAAAAGCACCAGTAAACATCTATGAAATTACATAGCATCAAGTCTCAGAAAATAGCTCCTCATAGGCACTGTCATGAGAACATCAAATCTTTTGTTTTATTGAAATTTTAGCACACATAGTGCATATACAGGTATTAATTTTAAAGAAGTATTTGAACTTCACTTTACTTGCACCACAAAGATGTAACAATTTTATTTTGCCGTACACATGTTGACAAAGAAGATATTTAGTCTCCATAGTCTCATATCATTGTACATATAGTTTTTATTTGTTCAATAAGTAAATGGTTTTACTTAATAAAGAATAATCTCATATTTAATAAAAGTGTCCAATGTCAATGTCATGCTATCTTGGCTCTCATGGTGAAAACCCTTAACTGCCTTGTGTGAACTGCTGAAGCCTGACATCATTCAATGGGCACTGACATGATTGATTACAAAGTGTGTAAGAAAGGAGAAGGGAATATCACAGTCTTTACAGACATAAGCACACATCTATATATCTCTGAATAAACGGCAAAGCACAAAAGACATGGGAGAGAGAATTAAAGAGTTAGAACATGCTACAAACGTCAGGATTCAAAGTCAGTACTCACCAAACATGTACCAAAACAATCAATCCCTACAAAGACTACCACCACTTAAGAATCTACTGGTGTGTGTTTGTGTATGTATATGTACATGTATGTGCTCATGTATTACGTAGGTAAGTCAATTAGCAAGTTACAAATGGATATAGAACTTAAACAAATAAAAGTACTTATTTGAAAAATGCTTTTATTTCTCAATATTATCTCCCTGTACATTGAGGCACTTGTCCCATAATTTCAAAAGCCCCTGAAAACCAGCAGCATAAAATTCTTTGGGCTGTTGTCGGAACTAGGTGGTGACTTCCCGTTATACAGCTTCATTGTTGGGAAATTTTTCAGCCGAAAAATTATGTTTAAGAGGGCCGAACAAATGGAAGTCGCTTGGAGCAAGACTCATCACCTGTGACAGTTTGGGCTAGCATATTGTGTCCTTCATCGTGGTAGTGATTGAGATGCTGTAATGCCAGACCCATTCTTTGCATTTTGTGTTGTGGGGTCAGCATGCGCGGCACCCATCATGCACAGACTTTGTGAAAACCTAACCTGTCATTCATTATGAGGTAGGCCATGTCATGTGAACAACCAATAGCAGTGGCTACACTGTCTATAGTTACCTTTCTATACAGAAGTCACTGCCTGGTTCCGACAAAAAACCTGCTGGTTTTCAGGGGCTTGTGAAATGATGGGACAGTTACCTCAATGTACAGGGAGATTACGTTGAGAAATAAAAGCATTTTTCAAATCAGTACTCTTATTTGTTTAAGTTCTATATCCATATGTAACTTACTTATTTACTTACCCTTGTAGATTCAATTCTACTTCATAAAATATATAAGTTTATTACAAGGATTCTATGTTTAAAAATTACGCTGTCTAATTTTCATGGAAACATTTAGAGAACTATCAAGTTCATATTACAGAAATTTATTTACAGACAGTAAAATAAGATACCTTATGCAAAGTTTTATCCTAGAAGACTGAGACATAGCATTAATATGTCAATGAAAAGGAGCTAGATACTTGACCAATAATTATTGAAGCATTTCTCTGCTATTTACAGTATTCTTAAAAACAGATAAACTTGTTTTGAAGGCTTTTTAAAATTAGATTTACTTGGAATATCTATGAACATATAACAGTGTCGACAAAAATAAGGTAGGGTCTGTAATCTCAATTATGATGTATCAAATGGAAAAGCTACGGAACCAGGATAGCATAGTCGGTATAGTGACTAGCTACAGGCTGGATGACTGAGGGGTCAGAGTTTTGAGTCTTGAATGGATCAAGAATTTTCTCTTCTCCACACCATCCAGACCAGCTCTAGGGCCAACCCAACCTCATATACAATGGATACTGGGGGCTCTTTCCAGGGGGTAAAGTGGCCGGGACATGAAGCTGACCACTCACCTCCAGTTAATGCTGAGATCGAGAAAATGTGGACCTGTACATCCACTCTCCCATACGCCTTCACAGCGTAGTGCTTAATTACTTAACAACAGGCACGGCTTTACCAAATGGAATAGCTAGACAGCTAACTCAATAACTAAGTTTTTATCCTAATTATATGCAACTATGTGTATTACACTGTTTAGTTTTCCATAGCAAGATCATACTGCATTCAAACTCCCACATATATGTTCTGTGATTTTATAATATTATGTTTTATATTATATACTGTAAGTCATGCGTTTTAATCTATATATGTAATATTGTATTGACTGACCTTTACTAAGCGGAATACTCTTGCTATTTAACTAAACAGATCTAGTGGATAAAAACATAAATTAAATAACTTTGTTACACTTTCTCTTTCAGGTTTGTAATTGGCATTTGGGCCCAAGGATGGTGTTGGGGTGGTGAAACATGTCATCCAGCTTATAATTTCTGTCAATAAGCATAGAGTGTGTGATTGCACACATAATATATTCAATTAGTCTAAATACACAAAAGGATTTAATAGTATAAAGGCAATAAATCTTTTACAAAAATACAACAACAAACAATACAATTTCAGAAAACTACAAAATCAAAGCCAGGGAAAGTTTATACAGAACTTGGTGAAGAATGCAGATGGGAGAATTAAACAAGAGACCCAGCAAAAATAAAGACTTCATAAAGTGTACCTTAATTCTTCATCAAGTGTCTTGGTATACACTTGCATCCCAGAGGCCAGGTCAAAAACCTTGAAAGCTTTATCCTTACCACATGACACCAATTTGTTACCATCTGGACTAAAGCTTGCTGCATACACTGTATCATTATGTCCTGCAATTATAAAAGAATTTTATAACTTATAAGGGGCACTAAACAAGCAGTAGTAACAAAGTGATATAAAATAATCTGTTTTTATTAATACACAGGTTTGATTACAGACTTACAATACAGCCTTCCCATGTTGCCCCACCTCTGGCAAATGCTGTAGTCCACTGGCAACATGTGTTCTGCTGAATTGTCCCAAAGAGTGTTCAAAAGCATGTATCTTTCCACAATGGGAATATTTGTCTTCACAGGGGTTACTTCATCTTTGGAAAGAGGTTGTAAACAAATGGACTCATGTCTGGAGAGCATGGAGAATGATCCAGTAGCTCTCAGTCCTAGCAGTGCAACACGTACTGGATGATGTGCACCATATGACATTGGGTACTGTCATACAGCAAGACAGGCCTAACAGCCAGTAACCCTAAGTGCTGCCTTACTTGGTGTTCAAGGGAGTTAGTGCAGTACTGCACATGCACTCACCATCTGTCTGTGCGGCAATGTGCAACAAACATATGGTCATATGCCAAGATCAGCATTGCCTTGAGTTGTTTCTGTTCCTGTTTGAGCTTCTTGGGACATGGGGAAGACAAGTGTCACAATTTGCTTGACTGCCATTTCAGCATCTATGAGCCCATGTTTCATCCAAGGCAATGATTCTGTCCCAGAATGTGGAACCATTTGCAAATTGCTCAATATAAACATCTGGATCTGAGATAAAGAGTGCAAGATGCATCATGCTGGGATATTCCTCATTCCAGTTCACTGCTGAGAATATGCAGTACTGTCAGGGCACTAATGCTTGCATGTCTGATGAGTTCTTGGCACAACTAACACCTGCCATCTGTCAGGAAATCTAAGTAATGTGTTGATCTGCTGCTGATACGGAGCATCTGGTATTTTTAATATTGTCATATTTAATATTTAATACATTTCATATCATAAACAATATGCCCGTACAAGGCACTTCCAATGTGTAAATGCTGGGAAATTCTTGAGTAGCTGGAGAATTGGCAGCTCCTCCAGAAGGGCTCAGCTCCATGAGTGAGAAAGTAAGTAAGTAAACACTGGTCAGTTCAGGGAGGTAGAGCAAAGAGAAGGAAGGGTGATTATAAAGGTTCTATGTACCCAAAGATGGCCAAAAGCAGCCTGAAACATGTAGTACACACAAATGTATGGCGTGTCTGTACCAGGATTGTGTCAATCAAGTAACTAATAAACATGTAGGAAATGCGTTCCTTTGAAATGTTGGGTTAATTATTTAGATCCCAATCCCTCATCTCCAAGTAATGATTAATATCTTGTAATGTGTTAAGAGACTACATACATGGGCTGGTTTGGTAATCAGACTTAATGGATTTCTGAAACTCATAACTACAATTAATTATAATCATTTCATTAGTTTATGCATTTTACAATTTGCCACAGCACATACTAGGCCTTCTCAGTCTACCGTGTCAGCAGTGGTTGCCTGGTAAGAGCTCCCAATGCCATAGATTCCTGAGCTTCTGCATTCATGTATTTACTGGCTGGTGACTTTCTTCAAACTAACCCATGGCAGCAAGTGTCTCTGCACCTTCTCAGCTCCTCAAAGCTCCAATTCAGTTCCTGATATATAGACTTGGGACAGACCCCACAGAACATTCTGCCTCCAACAGCTGTTTTATTGTTCCATGCATAAATGTTGCTGTGATCATGTGACAGTTACCTACTGCTGTGCAGCAATGAATGCTCACTTAATAGTGCCACTGTGTGTTTACTGTGTCAACCTACAACGGATGTTTCTTCTTGCTCCACAATTCTGACTTTGAGCCCTAATATCCCAATACAAATAATGGAAGTAAATTCCAAGGCCAGATTCCACCAAAGAAGGCTGAGGGGTTCTTGATTTATTTAATGTTGCATCAACTGCAGTGGTTACACACAGTCATGCAAAAATGGGACAATTACAAATTATGGTATGAAATTGATAATCTGTGGAAGGAAGCAGTCATGGTCAATTTATGATAGTAAATAGTTGTCAGGAGGAGAGAGAGGAAAACAAGGAAAAACTTCAGTGAAAGTAGAAAAACCATGATCAAGATTCAAGCTGGGTAGCTCACGAAATATAAGCACATACAGTGCGTACAATCAAGTGCGCGCCGCGGCT